CAGGTTGTGAGAGAACCTGGTGGTAGTTGTCTCAGCCACTGCAGAGCTTCTCCAAATAGAGAGTATTTGAAAAGATTGCAAAGAAGATAGTTTTGAGGGACTCCATTGGCTTTTATGATGGTTATGAGATCCTCAAACCTCTCCAGATGGTCCATAGGATGCTCATGGGACAACCCACAGAAGGGTATTTGTCCTACAAGTGTGTAGTACTGCGGCTTAATCTCGAAATCTCCTCTCTGAATAGCAGGAGGGCGGATGGCTGATTGGTTGGAATAGAACTGATCCGGACGGTTGTAGTCAGCCAAAGTTCTAGCTTGGTTAGCCTCTTCTACAGGTTGAATGATGTATGTAGGTGCAGTTTCTAGCTCAGGAATAATCTCCTTCTGAACGTTCTCTGCTTTCGACGCAGCAACTCTCAGCTGTTAAATCACATTCAGATATCCTTCAACGTCTTCCCTACCAGGAAGATCGGCAAAACGCTTCTCCATTACCGCAGCATAATCATTGCAGGTCTCAATGGCCTGTCGACAGATTAATTGTTAGAGAGGAAAAGAAAAAACATGAAAACAAAACGAATCGCTCACCTTGGCATTCGCAACGGCCATACGAACATACTCTTCTCGAGTACGCATATCAGCTAATGGAGAAAGATCGCAACCTCCCGACCTGATTCCATGACATATATGCGCGAGATGTTCAGGATATTCAAGAAAGCCTCCTCCCGCTTCAGCTCGAGGCGTCGGAGGTACAAACGCAGTTTGTTCAGGACCAACCCTAGACTGACCGCCTCTAGATGCTCTTCCATACGAAGAAATCCTAGTAGCAGACGAGTCTAGACTCGCAGAAATTATTTTTTCGAGATAGTGGCGACGAGCTTGGTCGGCAGGGGTGAGACTACCACCAGGAAAATTGCCTACAGACTCTGCTAATTGAGTCGGGACCGTTTGATTTTCAGCCACCGGAAGAGCAATAGCCAAAGGTTGAGCCGGGATCCCTAGAAGTCAAACATTCGACCTCGAGCGAAGTACAGGACCACATGATGATTTACGAACTCCGTCTGATGTCCCGACATCAGGAGCAACATCAGAACCGTCAGGAGAAAGACCCCTCCTCCTTACTCCTACAGGTAGACGGAACATAGAAAAAATGCACACAGTTAACTAAGAAAAGCAATTTTTAGCACTTAAAAGATTCGATGGAAATAATACCTCACTGAGACGAGCACCACGTGGACGAACCCGATTCGCTAAACCAACAACCTTAGCTCGACCTTGTCCCGGAGGGAGAGCAAGAGCAGCCCTAATACATTGCACGGTGAAGGAAGACCAGCGAGTTTGACCTCGGCATTGAGTCTCTACCAAACCCCAAAGCTTGGGTGTCATCAGAGCGCTCACAAAAAGCTCCGCATTTAAGGAGGATAAAACGAGGGCTTAAGAGAAAGTAATAAGAACGCAAGAGTTAACTCCCAATATAAAGAAAAACAAACCTATATGTTCTGACCAATCGTGGGTGAGTCGATTAAAGTCGAAGTCTCCGACCGAACCCGAGTTTATCTTGAAAACGAAGAATTTTATTCTCTCCAAGTGTCATCGCGACCATGAATACCTTCAATGACAGTGCGACCATTATGGGGAGAAAGAAGGTAGGTGCCGGGAAAACTCGTGTTATGTTATGCTTAACCGATGAAAGTTGTCTTAACTCCTCTAAACCGAACTTGAGGCCTTCTTCTTGAGCTTGGATCCATAAACCCAGAAAACAGCAAAGGAAGTTGGGGCACATACGAGTAAAATCCATCCTCATCTCAGCGAGAGCCTCAAGGAGGAATGGAAGAAGCGGGAATGATGGACTGCAGTTTTTGAAGTGCGTCACATAAGCTCCACAGTATCCGTCACGAACGTTCTCGGGATTTTCGTTACCCTCCGCGATGCTGATTTACACATCGTAGGGGATTCCCCACAGCTCGTGGATACTATCAAGATGATTTCACTCGATAATAGTAGGGAGATGAGGAGGGAACCTAGCATTTGCTATCGAGATATCGAAAACTAGAGATTGTAAAACAAGAGAGGAGAGATATTGGAAGAAATCGCAATAAGGTAGATCCTCTCGGCGAAGAAGATGACCTATTTAATAAAGATCCAAAAGCGGTTTCCAAAGTAGGTGACGTCCACAAACAACCTCAACCGCATGATTGAAGAAAGTGGCCGACAAGGACGATACACGTGGCACCGCGCTCTCCGAGATGAGCGACGACAGACGGTTGATAATGCTTTTCGCCTTCTCAGTTTCTCCAAACAAAAAAGTCTGGGAGGCAAATGTTGGACCCAAAATCGGGCCCATTAACTCAAAGCCCGTTGAAGAATCGTGCAGGAGAGTTCGAAGAGAATTCGAGGAAGTACAACGAGAACAAGGTTAGGCCCAACGTTTAAAGTAAAACCCAGGCCCATGTTTTATCATCATGTCGTGATCATTGGACACCGCGAGGTCAAAATGGAACCCCAGAGATCGTAGAAACAGTTAGAGGAAGGAAATACTATAAAATGAGAGCTAGAGTGACATTCAACACACACGAGAAAAACCCTGGAGCTATTCACTAAACACATCGACCTCATTCTTTAGATTTCTAGTTCGCTTTCTTGTACTCATTGTTGTTATTTTAGATCGTGTTGATCACTTTGTAAACGAATTCCATATTCAATAAAAGTCTATTTTTTTCAACTGAAGCCCGTATATATCGTTGTGTTTAAGAGCACTGTTTCCCACATCTTTTTCCTTCCCCTTATTAAACTCTCGATCTCTACAAAATACTGAGTGTGGACTTTAGGATCTACAGATGGGAAGTTTCTTCTACGTCCGGATTGACAGTGCTTCAATGGAAGATAGTTGTATTCCTATCTTTTGGTGCAAATGGGCTCGCAAGAGTATTCCGAACAGACGTTTTTTTAATGTGATTTAGCCAAAAATTGACCCTGTGTATTTTTGTCTTGTTTTGCAGAGGCTGTCCCTCTTTTTTGGAGCCCGAAGATCTTGAGAAGGTTAAGGATCTCCTTCTTGGCTGTCCCTTCTATTGGGAATATTTTTCTCCGAAAAGGATTCGTCGTGCTATTTCCTTCCACCTCTCTTGTAATCATCCAGATAGACCAGACGTAGTGGAGTTGGATCCAAACATGGATGGGTTTGTGAGTTGCGATGCCTCAGAGGAGAGAGAGAGCTCAAGATCTCCGCAGGACATGAATATTTCCGTCGGCGTTGACCAAACGTTCAAGAACTTTACGGAGGGTCAGACTAGTTGCAACGTTCCGGTTGATCTCTTTGACTTCTTAATTTTACGGTTCCTTTGGAGAAAGTCGTGCGGGATGGACCGCCACAGTTTGTTAAGGCGTTGAGACTCGTCAACAAGGTTGGCTTCTGTCTCCCTAACTTTCATAGTTATTTTATATGTGTGTCCTAACCTACCCTCCCTCTGACTTGTTTTTTGCTTTATCTCAGGACCTTCTTGTTATGAACGAGGCTCTAAATGCGAGCAACTCGGAGGCTCGTATAACCGAAGTTAGGCTCGAGGCGGCAAAGAAGGAAGCTGCTCATTTGAAAGAGGAATTGGCTGCAAGCTCCCTTAATGCCCGTGATTGGGCCGAATAGGAAATTGCTCGCGCAAGAGAAGAGTTCTTGGCCAACTATTAACGTGAGAAAGGGCTGGTGGAACAGAGAGTCTGTCGTGCTCGTAGGGACGGGAACAGAGAGATTGTTGAAATCGTGAAGGCTCGTCGTGAATGTTTTGCATCTGAATACATGGGGATCAAGGATACTAAAAGGGCCGATGGCGATTATCGCGAGTGCTGCGGTGTGGTTGGCGGATTACACCTGTCCCAACTCCTCGACTATTCCTGTGAAGTGGAGTCGGCCAAGCATACCGAGTGTCTACGTAAGAAGGATAAGAAGCAGGGCATGATTCTCGATCTTGAGACGAAGATGTGGCCGCAGTGGGATCTTATCCCAGTGTCCCCTGATTCAGTGGAGGTTGGATCAGAGATTCCTGATAAGTATGGAGAGGAAGATCAGCCGAAGACTCAGGCGTAGGTTTCCCCGTGCTCTTTTGGTCAGTTGGCATCTGGGTTTTACGACCCATGTCCATGATTTTGATGCTTAGTGGAGATGTACTCCTTTTATGATTTTATGATGTTTTTAATCGGGACTGGCCGGTGGTGTCTTTGAATCTTTGCCGCTAGGCGATGTGTATGTGAACTATGCTTTATTCGAACGAGTAGTTTTAAATATGCTTGCGTTTTTTGTTTAAGATTGCGTTTTTTTGTTTAAGTAAGGAGGGAAGAATACGAGTTTTCATCTCGTACCTAACTCTTTTTGTGGATTGTCCTATTCGTCTGCTCGTCTTAAGATATTTAAAATCTCTCTGGACGTTTAGATGTGAACGAAGAGACATGTCTTTAGGATCTCGAATCATGCCTTGAGATGTTAGAGACCAGTGTGATGGGTTTAGGGTAAGACCTAGGTTTACTCTCAGTTTTAGGCTTTGCGATGACTAGTCAGCTTTCATTTTACATGTTGCGACTTTAACATGATTCAGTACCAATGAATCTATGCGTTTGTTTACTATTGCTGGAGATACTGGATCTAGCTTTCTACACCGTCCGTACGAGGTTTCAACGGAGGAGCTTCATATTCGAGGAAGTAGGTGAGCTGCATTGAGAGTCGACTTTTCTTTAGCTTTCTACACCGTCCGTACGAGGTTTCAACGGAGGAGCTTCATTTTCGAGGAAGTAGGCGAGCTGCATTGAGAGTCGACTTTTCTTTCCAATTTATTCAAGTTGAGCATATCTGAATGTCTCCTCCGCACAAACAAGCAAGCAAAAGCAGTTAGTTATTAGTAACCTACATCTCAGCCCACCATAATAACATACACTCCCAATCGAGTACACGCAGCAAACTTCTCTCTCCGGTTTTATCCTTTATCCAATTACATCGCGCCATGTCATCTATCAGCCAAGACCGAATGTTTCTCTGATCGATGATCTCTGCACCTTGAGAGTTTATTTCTCGTCCAAATAAACGAACCCTAACTCTGACATGGAAGGAGAGCTTCAAGAAGACTGGGAAGTGGTGATCCAGAGCTCTGGAGCTATTCAGGAAGAGGAGAACCCGAAGAGCTTGGAGGAGATTGAAAATGGCACGCAAGGTATTGTTACCTTTGATTACTTCTCGATGGAAAACAAAAACTGTGTGGGTCGCGTTGATGCGATCGATGAAGATGGGTCTGTTCAATCTGGTAGTCCAGGCTGGATCGAACCTAACTCCGACGCTCCTTATGGCCCCAAGCTTTTTAGCGAGTTATGGTCGGATTCCAGCAGCGATCGGCTCGATGATCAGATATTAGTCGGTGATGATGATGTGAACAACGAGTTGGGTTTGGAGAAATCAGAGGAATTCAGTGAAAGTACAGCGAAAGAGAAGCATTTGGAGGAGTCGCCAGTTTCAGTGGAAGGAAAGTCTGTTTCTATTGATTCATCTGGTGGTGGTGGAGGAGAAGAAAGGGGATTTCTGTGGTGGAAGATTCCGATTGACGTTTCGAAGTATTGTGTTTTCAGAGTTAATCCTATTTGGTCTCTCTCCATGGCAGCAGCAGTGGTGGGTTTTGTTATGTTAGGCCGCAAATTGTATCATATGAAGAAGACGAAGAGCTCTACTTTGCATCTTAAGGTCCTCCTTGATGATAAGGTAACTCTTTCGGTTTATTTTGATTGTCTATATTCTTAAAGTCTGTCAAGTTCCTGAGGCCGGTTCATTTGTTTTGTCTGTTCCTCTTTCGTTAGATGTTTACTAAATTTCATCGTTGATTTGATGGGGAAACCAGATGACCAGAAACTCTTTGTTATTTCTTTGCGGTTGTTGATTGAGTTACAACTGTTTGCTTCGTTTAGTTACTGCAAGTTTTCTCTTTTGTAAAGTAGTTTAAATGCTGCTAGTGACTCATGTTCATAGTATTTGTTCACTGGCTCTATCTACGAAAACTGGATGTCGAAAGTGTTTTTGTGAACCTTTATTAGCTCTTTGATATAGAACTGGTTTACTTCTTGATAAATGCTTTTTGAATGGATAATTTAAAGTGTAGTTGGTGAGAGACTAATGAGATAATCTTTCAAAAGCCACCTGAGTGATCCATATCTCTGTTGTTACATTTTATTTTGCATGTTCTTTGGTAGATTGAAAGTTCCTTACACTAGTTTTTTTGTTTTTTTAATTACGAGGATGTTTGATTGTCTTCTTTTTGATTCATCTTTCTGGTTCTTCATTGTAGCATCTTCTTGTTTGGTTGTATAGTTTCGTATTTTACAGATTATATTGATGAGAATGGGGTAAAAGGTGTGTTAAATCCAGCAATGGTAGACTTAACCGGCCTTTAGGTGTTACGAACCATCAATAAGAACCTAAATTTGCGTCCTGCTGCTTACCATTGCAAATAACATGGCGAATCATACACGTCTTTTTCTGCTATAATTCATGTTCTTTCTTGAGCTTATTCTCATCTTTTCACTTATGAAAAAAGGAAAAGAAGTCGTGAGTACCCAAGTTGGAATATATTATCCAGACCATCTGATTCCTCTTCTTTTGTTATGTCTTGAATGAATTCGTTTCTCAGAAGGTGGCGAATAATGGTGCTCGGTTGAACGAAGCAGCAATCTCATTAATGAAACGTGTGCCCATAATCCCGCCAGCACTCCCATCATCTGTGGTGGGTATGAACCAATGGCCTATGATGAGTTTAAGGTGAAAGATAAGTACAGTGAATTCAGGGCATACTATAATGCATAAGTGTGACGAATGGGTGATATGAATGGCATGTATCATTTGAATGTGTTATGACAAGTCTCAAAATGTTACAAAACATACAAAAGATGCTTGTAAGTTTGTACCGCGTGTGTATGTATATATTGTTACCTGTTTGGATTCGAATCACAGTGAAGCTTGGTGGTACAAAAATGTGAAGAACGGTAAGGTATAGCTACAAAAAAATCTTTTAAAAGGCATTGTGTATGTGTTACGTGTTTCGCAACAAATTATAATTAACCGATAACAATATTGTCGAATAAGATATATATTCATCCGATAACTATTTACAATGAGAGACAAATACGGAAATCCCTCGTCTACCCCTCCAACAATTTCCGATTACTTATATAAAAATGAATCTAAACCGAGTTTAGTTAATGGAGGAAAGTTAAGATTCTCGACTTTCCATGAGAATTTGGATTTCTTGTTTTGTCACACAAATACGAAAAAAGAACAAGACAACAAAATATCATATAAAGCTGCATAGAGGCATTTTATTGAATAAGATGAAGAAACGTTTGGATCCCTTATCCCTTCTTTCAACGCCCGAGGTCTTGTATATATTCTCTCAAAGTCGTTTGTTATTCTTTTTCTGCCCTGATTAGAGTTTATCCTTTTTACGGTGATCTTTCCTTATCCTCTCAAAGTCCATGTTTACCTTGGAAAATTTACATTATCTTTTTCTTTCATCTGTCTTTGTTTTTTTTTAATTTTTTTTTTTTTTACAACGAACAGCTGATCTATTAATTAAACTTGAGGTGGTTTGGGAATCTAGACCGGAATAGAACAACCAACATACATGAGATCCCGATAAAATGATCGGGCAGTCTTAGCTAAATGATTGGACACAACATTTAGAGATCGAGGTACATAAGAAATCTTAAAATCTGGGAAATAAATCCTCAGCGTCGAGATCCTCTCCAGGTCCGTCGAAAAGCTTGGTTATCCCTGGGGATCCTTGAGCATTGCTAATAATTCCTTGCAATCCGTCCCAAAGCTCTGACATGGCGAATGTTGAATCATGTTCTCCATTGCCCCACCGCAGCGTTTCCAACTCAGAATGCAAAGCCGACTCCACTCTACTCACATTACGCATCCCCATCAGTTGAATACTTCCCATGTTATCCTTCCAGTCCCAACCACAACCGGAAAATTGATCTATAAAGGTCCAAGAACCATCTATCATGCAAATATCTCGTAGGCTTACGGCCCGACTTACAATATCGCCGTCCTCTTGTGCGATCACAACTTCCTGCTCATTAGATTCGAACCAGGCAAGACACTCACTCTCCGCATATCGGGCCACCTCCAAAGGGTCTCTATCTATTCCTCTAAACAGCTTGTCATTCCGCCTTCCAAATGTACCATATCAACCAAGGATACGGTTCCTTTTCTAATTCTGGCCCACAAATGATCTTCTTCTGCCGGAACAGTATTCGCATATGTGCTCTCCAAGGGAAATAAAGTTGGGCTGGTAGGTATAGATGCTAAAGCCCATACCTGTAAAGCCGGTGGGCATTGGAAAATTGCATGTGCAATTGTTTCGTCCGGCTCTCCGCATCGAGGGCAGAAATTATCGCATCTCATATGTCTATGATTCAGCGCACTCGTAACAGCCACCTGCCCCGATATAATCTGCCACATAAGATGACACATCTTCGGGGGTGCTTTAACCTTCCAAACTTGTGCTTGTAGCCTTTTAAAGCTAGGTTCATCTACCACATTCTCATCTTCCTTCATTAGTACATTACGAGCTACCCAATATCCGGACTTAACTGTGTACTGCCCACTCCTTGTGTAACTCCAGCAGTGTGTGTCTCTACGGTGGGTTGAACTAATAGCCATACTCCTTATGAGAGGTATATCAGCAGCGTCAACATAATTTTCCTGCCGATCCAAATCCCAAGACTTTGTTCCTTGATTGATAAGATCACTCACTCTCATATTCGGATGCAGAACCGGAGCTGAAGCTCGCGCTGGTCTCGCTGGGATTGTGGGAATCCATGGATCGTCCCATACCTTAACTTCATACCCTGAATGAGTTTTCTGCCTAGCCCCCAATAGCAGTAATTCTCGGGCTGCTGAGATACTTGTCCACACATACGATGGACTGCTGACAGTGAGCTTTGGCAAAGGCAAACTTAGTCTATAATACCGCCCTCTCATAACACGAGCAACCAAAGAGTCCGGATTTTGGGCCAATCTCCACAGCTGCTTTGCTAGTAATGCCAGGTTAAACTCATGAATCATCCTGAATCCCAGTCCACCTTCCTCTTTAGATAGACATAGCTTGTCCCATGTTGTCCAGTGTAAGCCCCTCTTTGGTGGGTTTGAGCTCCACCAAAATTGTGCAATGGTACTAGCCAAGGCATCACATATCTCCAATGGAAGCAAAAAGCAAGACATAACGTATGTTGGGAGAGCTAACAAGATTGACTTAATCATAACTTCCTTTCCACCTTTGGACAACCACCTCCCCGTCCATCCATTCACTCTGTTCCGAAGTTTGTCTTTTAAGAATGCAAACAGCTTAAATTTCGAGCCACTGATGTCCTCTGGTATCCCTAGGTAGGTTCCCATTCCTGCTTCATTTTGTATCCTAAGTGTATCTTTGATCTCCTGTATGGCCTCTTGACCTATCCTCTTACCAAAGAGTAAAGAAGACTTGTCAAAATTGATGCACAGTCCAGAGGCTTGTCCATATTTCCTAACCACTTTCATTACTTCTTCACATTCACGGGGCTCCGCCTTACAAAAGAACATGCTATCATTAGAAAAGAGCAGGTGGGATACCGAGGGACATGCACGCGTGATGCACATCCCCGTTATCTTTCCATGATTCTCTGCGTGATTAAGAAGGCTAACGAGCGCTTCCGTGCATAGAATACAAATGAAAGGGGACAAAGGATCTCCCTGGCGTAGACCTCTCTCCGGGACAATATTCCCTCGTGGCTGTCCATTCATGAGTACCTTATACTTTACAGTCATTATGCATCGCATAATCCAGGTAATCCAGATTTCGGAGAACCCCATCTTCCTCATGGTGGCTTCAATGAAAGACCATTCCATACGATCATATGTCTTACTCATGTCTGTTTTGATGGCCATCCTCTTATTGCGCCCACTTGGTTTTGTTCTTCAGGCATGGAACAATTCCTGGACAATCATTATGTTGTCTGATATCTATCTCCCAGCAACAAAGGCTGACTGAGTTTCAGAAATCCTGCCCGGAAGAACCTTTTTAAGTCTTTGGCATAAAACCTTTGAGATAATCTTGTAGCAAACATTACAAAGGCTGATGGGTCGTAGTTGACTCATCTGGTTTCGCTTATCAACTTTTGGAATAAGACATATGTTAGTATTAGTGAGACCCGTCGGAATAGTCCCTTGAAATAAGAATTCATTAACCATACAAGTTAAATCATCCTTGATGATATCCCAACAATTTTGATAAAACAAGGCCGTCATTCCGTCAGGTCCAGGAGCTTTCTCAGGATGCATATCAAAAAGGGCTAATTTAACCTCCCACTCTGAAACCGGAGCTGTGAGCCCGTCATTATCAGCAGGCGTGATTGTAGTGGTTACTTCAGAAAGTGCGTCCTCAATTTTCTCAGGGTTTGATGTTTGGAAGATTTGGCGAAAATAACTAGTAGCAATGGCTACCAGGCCTTCCTCATCCTCCACAACATTCCCATCGGCATCTAAAAGTTGATTTATCCTGTTCCTCGCTCTTCGCTGCTTCGTTAAAGAATGGAAAAATTTAGTGTTTCGATCTCCCTCTCTTAACCAGAAAACCCTACACTTCTGCTTCCAGAATAATTCCTCCACCTTAAGGGCATCAGACAATTCTTTTAGAGCCGCCGCTATCTCCTCTGTAGTGGCATCATCATTGGAGGATAATCGATCCACCTTTTCCATTAGCTCCTCTACACTTTTCTCGGAATTCAGATTGTGTTGCCTTTTCCAATCACATAACCTCCGTCTGCAGCTTGTAATGTGCTCCATAATACTTGCTCCGGGTGGTAGATCTGGAGATTTCCATCCTTCAAGTATAATCTGTCTTAGTTCCTCATTTTGAAGCCATCGCTTATCAAATTTAAAGCTTTTCGATCTCCGTGGTTTCTTTTTAAGAATGTCTGCCAAGATTGGACGATGATCCGACCCCCAAAGCCTCATATATTGAACTTTAGAATGAGGAAATTTCTCATGCCAATTCTCATTACCCACAGCCCTATCAAGTTTACATCTAACAGTAGCATTTCCTGCTCTTCTTCCAACCCATGAAAGCATATTTCCTATGAAAGGAAAATCCAGCATGCCACAATCACTGAGCATCTGCTTGAAAGGCAAGTAAGAGCTATCTGTGCGTTGTCTGCCTCCTTCCTTCTCTTCGTGACAAGTAATTTCATTAAAATCATCAATCATAAAACATGGTCCATTTCTTGTTGTTGAGAAACGCGTAAGACGTTCCTAAACTAGATCTCTTCTTTCTACTACAGGATCCCCATAAACAAATGTCATGTAGACTTTTATTCCATCAATGACTGCTTCAATATCAATCATTCTGTTATTCGAAAATAAAATCTTAACTTGATAATCATCCATAAAAAATAAAGCTAAACCTCCGCTGAGACCAAGTGGCTCAACGGTAAACAAACGATCAAATCCTAAGTCGGCCTGAATGTCTTACAACAGCAGCCTCCTATTCTTTGTTTCAGAAAGGAACACTAGTCCTGGGCGATGCTTCTGACACATCTCCGTAAGGCGTCGAACTGTGAGGTCAGTCCCAATCCCTCGATAGTTCCAACTAAGTGTCTTCATGGATGATTGTGGGATGGGTTTTTGGACCCCATCGAACCACTTTCTTTGTGTGACTTAGACCGATCCTCTGTAGCATTATGACTACGATGTCTTGGTTTAGCCTTAGCACCAGTGTGCTTCTGAGATGTAGAGCCTAGAACGCGCAGCGGTGGAGATCCCCGACGAAGGACCTCCTTCTTCCTAGGAGTCCTCCTGTTTCCATTCCTGCCTCCACTCAAAATTCTTGAGCTTTTTTCTTTCTCACTATGGCGTGAAATGTGCTGCTTTTCAGGTACCTCCAAATCCATGAGTTCCTCATCAAAGAGATCATCCTCCTCTTACATTCTTCCTTCATCCTCAAGTGAGATTGAACCCATATTCGATAAAGCCTCAATTACCCGTGCATCATCATCTTCCGGGACAGGATTGTGAGCATGGTACGTCAAAGAACGCAC